CCCGAGCGCGTGGTAAATGTCAGCAAACTGAAAGGCGTCGGACGGGTACAGACCTATTGCTTACAGCGCCTTTCTATGCACCAGACGTCAAATTGGAGAGCTTTGCATGTAATGGTGATTCAGACTCATATAACTTCATCGCACTTTTTATCCATGCTATCTATGCTACTATAGCTGATGACCGGTAGCTTTCAACAGACATGAACAGAGTAACTACCGCAACGTGAACAGAGTAACTACCGCAAGCACCACGCATTTACGTTCATTCTGTTGCGCCAGAAAATGAAGAAGGCGCCTAAAACTATTTTGATCTAAACTTAGCGCTTTAAGATCATCGCCATTTTCCTATGCGAGGAAGCATATTCCCTGAGCCCGACAGAAGCAATGAGCAACATTACCGTCACACTGGCCTCAGACACACACACACACACACACACCACACACCACACACACACACACACACCCACACACACACACACACACCCACACACACACACACACACACACACACACACACACACACACACACACACACACACACACCACACCACACACACACACACACCACACACACACACACACCACCACACACACACACACAACACACAAACACACACACACACACACACCACACACACCACACACACACACACACACACACACACACCACACACACACACACACACCACACACACACACAACACACACACACCACACACACACACACACACCCCACACCACACACACACACCACCACCACACACACACACACACACACACACACACCACACACACACCACACACACACACACACACCACACACAACACACACACACACACACACACCACACACACACACACACACACACACACACACACACCACACACAACACACACACACACACACTCACACAACACACACACACACACACACACACACACAAACACACACACACACACACACACACACACACCACACACACACACACCACACACAAACATGCCCTATTTACAGTCCTTGCTGCTATTGCTCGGACTCCCATTCACTGGCGGAAGTGGTTCTAGGGTGTCGCTGTGCAAACTGACTGGGCTCACTCTGGGTGGGTGCTGCGCTGGCTGACGTCCATTTTCTGTGCTCAGCTGGACCAACAAGTCCGCACGGGAAAAGACAAGACGAAACACGATGCTGAGTTCGGAAGACTGGAATAACTAAGTCAGTGCCAAGCACCGCTTCGTACGTTGTTTGATTCCGGAAGCTCATCACCTGACATTTTGATAGGAAAGTTCATTTTTTTATTGTTTGCTTACAAACAGCTACGCATTCATCCGTTTGTATGTACAGAACAAATCAATATCTTGTGAGCTTATTACACTTTGGTTTTTGAAATGCGTTGGCATCAATCATCCATTCAAATGCGATGTCTTATTTTCCAGAATGCATTCTGCCGAAATGTGACGTCACCGGGTTAACATTTCCCTCTTGCTTGACTGAGTCGCATTGAGAAAACTAAGTTCGCTGCCACGGTTATCTTGCATATTCCAACAGAATGCAAGTTGCTCACAAGGCGCTTGATCCCAGGCGCTGGTAGGAGCGGCTGGTAAATGTCGATTCATCTTCCTAGAAAGAAACCGTTTCACCGTCTCACGTCACTGTACGACCGAACGAGCGCCAGCGGTCAGGCTTTAGATGATAGACGACCCCAAATAAATTAACAGCTTCATCTCCAGTTCAGCTGATGATGGACTTTTCCTGGAACTGTGAAAATACCATCAACGTAGCTTAGTTTCCAACCGCGTGGGCTTTTCCGGCGGCCCAGGCGGGCCAGTGTTTTGATGATTGGTTGAGGACCACAAAATATAGCAAATCGATCCATGCGTCTTGATTTAGAAAGGTATCCGTTTGGACGTGACAAATGCGAACATATTACTCGCAGCAGAAATCGGCGAGAGCTAATGTGATAAAGACATACCGACCAGCAGCGCTGATACATTACCGAAGTAATTCTTACCAAGATATCTAGATACAGAAACCGAAGCGTCGAATGCGCAGAACGGCAGAAACTTTCAGTTCATGTGGTTCAGCAGTTCAGCAGTTCATGTGGTTGACGTTCCGAGGTATACAAACTTTCAGAGCCCCTCGGGACTTTCCGGGGCTTTCGGTACATTTCAGAACGTCACAGGTCATCGGGTTACTCCGCGGGAATCCAATACTCGTTCGATCATGCCAAGCCGCATGGAAATCCCTTCTATTTCCGTGTAGCGCTTTGGGATGTCAAGTCGCAGCAAATTATGCAAACCATCTGAAACAAGCTGTAAGCGTTGTAACTCAATGAGACCCGGAAACACGTGGCTCCAATGTTCGGTTGCGTTTGGCGTACTAATGGAATTTGTCGCTGTCCCAACTGGTCGCATTCACTGGCAATGGGACGCAGTGGCGAAAAGCGACGTGAGCACTGAGGAATCCACCGCAGAGGCCTCGGTCAGACAATGCCCCGGCCATTCCCACGTGGCGCGGTTTCAGGTCTGACCAATGATCCCGTACGACACCAGGACAATTCATAACCATTCCTTCTGCAAACGTTGCGCCGCCGCTTACTTGCAAGACAAATACATTTCATTTCGAAAACGTGCGGCTGCTGGATATTGCGTCATTTCAATGTTGGCCGCCGTTATGGCTAGCTGTTAACGTCCTCTGTCGGCCACCATGAAAACGTTATGGGTTTACGTAATTTCGAGCCTTCAAATGACCCGTGAATTTCGGAAGCCATGGAAATGAGGATTTACCTGTTTTGATGAGCCAAGAGAGTCAAGAGTTTAATCGAAGCGTAAACACATTTCTGTCACGACCAACGCAATGCAACAAAATTTCTTTATCTCACTTGACGGCCATCGGCATAATTTTGCAACGCTGGAACACCGAGTGCGCACCAAGGCATTGTCTCCGTTTATATGTGGCTGCCACTTAT